CTTGGTGCATTGACAAATTACCTGCTGACTCTGCACTTTTCAAAAAGCAAATGGGCTTTTTTTCTTTTTTCTTTTTTTTTTTTTTTTTGAGCACGACTGAGTGCTCAACTGTGTTTTGACCCGCTACTTTCAGGTGGCTTATGCCAGATCCTGTCGGCCAGATGCTGAATAGGACAATTTTCCCCGAGGGGATTGGAGAGCCTGTTTCAAGAAGCTTTTATGTTTCCAGAAGGATTGAATTTTCAGCAAAGCATTTCCATAAGTCTCCTGTCCCCTAGCTAGAGTACAGTGTTCAAATAGAAAGTGATGTGAGACAAGCACAGCTTTAGGCATCCAGGCTGTGGTGACGTCAGGCCTCTGGGCCTGAAGCAAAGCAGCCCACAGAGTCCTTGAATCCATCTGATGTTTCATGCACGGAGTTTGTACCTTGACTTGTCTTATCTTCCCCAGCTATCCCCATGCAGACAAGCAGAAAGAATTCAGCTTGGCTTGAGTTTAAGTAAGTTTTGGAAGGAGTTGCTGGAAGATTTGGAAAGAAAATGATGCTGTTGCTTGGTTACTTGCTGAGCTGGCCTTGCTGTCACTTGTAGCCATCTCGCTAGAAGACATTTGTTAAATGAAGTCCCAAGAGGCTTCTTGTGTGGTCACTACATGAAAACACACTCTTCCAAATAGCCACTGGCATCAATATTCTGATCGCTCTGAACTTGCTCAAGACTAGAAAAGTTGGTGCAGCCCCACTGACTTATCTAACAGAAAATGCCACAAACACCTCCAGTTTTGAAGCGTGGAGGGGGCTTGTCACTGCAGTTTGTTTTTATTCCATCACAAAGGGATGATGATAGGGAAGGTGAGGTGGAGGTGCAGAGCTGTGGGAATATGGCTGTGACATGAGGTACATGGTTATTCCTTGAGGATTTCCCTTCTGCCTCAGTTTCCTCCTTTGCGAAGTGGTCTTCCATGGCTGGTGAGTTCCAGTTAAATCAGATACCCCCTTCTTTCCTATAGGGCAGCCCCTCTGCCAGGCTGGGACCTTGCCCACAGTTGCACAAGAAGATGCAGACATGGTAGGGGAGTTCACCCTGCCCAGGACTCATGGAAATGAATTGGTGCTCCACACACAAAGGTCCCCAACCACCGTGGACATTGCAGTAGCGCAAGCAGGGCAATGCTGGGGACCAAGTGAGGGAGCAGAGGGAGGGAGACCACATCAGAGGGACAAGCCTAAGTATCAGCCAGGCAGGAATGATTCCTTCCTGATCCTGAAGGAATCAGCATCCAAAAAATGTTGCAAATAAGAAAACAGGCTTAGTGAGTTGACTGTCCCCTTCTTTGCAAAAACCTGACCAGAAGGGTCTGTTGGTGAAGGGAGAAAGAGACCATAGTGGGACAAGGTGCAAGCTGTTATGGGAGTCAGGATCCATCCTGGGCATACAGCCACCAGGACTAGTTCTCAGGGAATAATTAGAGGCAAGTGGGGCCCTTTATCTTCATCTGAGGTTCTGGCACACTTCTGATTTAATACTTGGTGAACAGGGTGACAGGACAGTCTCAGAACTGTGTTTTTCAACCTGTGATGGAGGTACCCAGAGGATTTTTAAGTGTAAAAGCAAAGAGAGATGGAGCAAGTGAGCAGGGCTGGAGCCAGGATCACCACTTTGGTTAAAGGCCCCCATGGGCAGGAGCACATTGCTGTACCCACTGCAGTGGGGAGTGCCCTCAGGAGGAACAAGTCTATTTGCTGGTGGAGCTGAACAGACATAAAATCTCCCTCAGTTATATGGGTGTTTTTTTCTGTATAAACTTGCTAATTGAGTTGTAAAATAAAACTGCAGCCCTTCCTCTCCAATTTCTGCTGCTGCAGCAGCGTGCTAATTTGGTTTTGGAAGGGGGCTGGTAGAAGGTGGCTCTTTGCCAGTGTGAAATTATGCGCAAAAAGTTTGCAGTGGGAGAGAAAAGAGCCCGTCCTTGGTGCAAGGAAGGACTGGGGGCAGGAGCTGCTGAGCAGGGCTGGGGCGGCTTGGGAAGGTCCTGCAGCTGGGCTGGGCTGGGCTGATGGAAATTCAAGAAAGCCCAGAAGGGTTTAAATGAAGTTGCAATGGAGAACAGATGGGAAAGTTAGCGCTTGTGCACCTCAGTAGATGCTGTGTGGTTGAGAGGATGAGCTGTGGGAATTCGCATCTACCCTCCAGCATGGCCAGGCAGGATTTGCTTCTTGGGGGGGAGGGGTGCGGGGGGGTGGGGGGGGGGGGGGGGGGGGGGGGGGGGGGGGGGGGGGGGGGGGGGGTGGGGGGGGGGGGGGTGTGCACGCCTTTGGTGTGGACATGTGTGCCTGGTGTGTGCACACATGTGTGTCCGTGTCGCTCGGGGTGGTGTGGGTATGTGCGTGCCTGTGTTGGGTCTCCATACAGACAGTGAGGACAGGGATCTGGGTCTCATCACCCAGCAGCACAAGGCTCTGTCATGGGGACAACTGTGCACGGGAACGAGGATGGTATGGTGCAGACTGATGCAGAGGAACCCACTGCTCAGCTCTGCTGACTTGCACAAGGCAGGGATTTGGCCCTGCTGCCCGCACTGGGGGCTAAGAGGAGTGGTCTGTGGGGGGGGAAAAAAAGAAGGTGGGGAAAGAAAAAACAGAAGGCACAGCCTGGCTGTCTGTTGCATCGATGTAACTTTAATTTTTGAAAGACCCACAGAAAAGATTCAGTGACAGTTCCAGTCCCAAGGTGAAGCCCAGGGTTACACATGTAGGGCAGGTACATGCACCCCAACACGCAGGAGGATGTAAAGTCCCAGGGAACCCAGGGCATGGACCACATTCACCATTTTTGTATCTTTCATTGTTTCGCATAAAACTGACTGTGTGAAACAATTCCAGGCAGGAGGCTCCAGAAACCATTTCAAGAAGCCCAGAGGTTTATGGATAGGTTTGCCTGCCCATTTTCTAGAATTTGACAGTCCTTCCTGTCTCATCATCCTTTCATCCTTCTGCTGATCCTTTTGATCCCCTCTCTGGGCAGCACTGGGAAGGGAGCGCTGCCATACCCTTCAGTGGGAGCATCAGGAGCACAGTTTGTGACCTTGGAGATGCTGGTTGAGGTGGAATTGAGTGGGGCAGGACAGACAGTGTTTTTCAGTGTTCCCATATTTGGGAAGAGGTGCCCTGAACACTCAGCCCTGTTGCCACCTGCTCCAGTTCTGTGAGGGCTCCCAAGTGGGATCTCAGCACCCTGGCCAGAGGGGAGTGAGGCCTCAGGGGCTGGAAGGTCGTCAGATGCTTTCGAAAGTGATCTTTAGTGTCTAAACATCATCAGGCTGGATTAAGTAAGGATTTAGTAAGGAACTGAAAAAAGAATAATATTGAAGCTTTCCTCTGCCTCCCCTTCCTTTGCCTCCTGCCCCAGCTGGGTTAGGGTTCCTGGTGGTTGGTAACTGCTGGGTGGGTGCTGCCAGCGGCAGCGTGCAAGGCCCCGTGGTCTGTGCAGAGTGTGCAACTGCTGTGCAAGCCACGCAAGCTCTGTGTAAAGGCTGTGCAAGTCCGGTGCAAACTCCATGTAAGGGCTGTGCAAGCCCTGTGTAAATGCCTTGCAAAGGCCGTGCCAACTGTGCAAAGTGTGCAAATGCCATCTGGCACTGAGAGGGACGTGGATTTCTCGGGTTGGGGATTTCTTGGGATGGTGTCATGGGAGCTGTGTCCGTGTCTCTGCACAGCATGTGCGTTCATACCGAGCAAATCCGCTGGTTGGCATTAGAAACCCACTCGTGATACTGGGACAAAGCACCTGTAAAACTACAGCAGAAAGAAATCCGAGAGGCTGCAGTGACAAACGCTCGTGAGAAGCGATTGTTGGGGGGGGGGGGGGGGAGAAAAAAAAAAAGCCATGTTTGTTTTGGCGAAACACCTACATTCCTTCAAATAAATCATCGCAGCCCTTGTTTTTGTATTTGCGGAGAAATCGCAACAGACATAACCAGGGACTTAAGAGACTTGAAATAACATCCTAGTAAATACCCCACTTTGTTATTTTAATCGAGACCCACGGAAACATCTGAATTTTACCAAGGAAACCCTCCGTGCGAGGGAAAACATCAGCTCGCAGCCCGGCCGGGGCTTTGTTTTGCTCCGGTGTCGGGCTACCGAGGCGGAATTGCCGGGGCCGATGGAGGTGCAGGGCAGCCCGGGACAGTCGCTCCGGCTTCCCTGACTCTCCCGGCCCGGCCCCGCCGGCAGCATCACCCCCGCAGGCCAGTCTGAGGGGTGGGAAGTCCGCCCGAAAAGTGGGTGAAGGTTCCTTAGTCCGAAACACAGCCGAGGTCTGCCCCATGTCCAGTTTGGGACCAGTACGAGGTGGTGTGGGACAAGGGCGCCTTCCAAAGTACGAGACGGACACAACTCCCATCCGCATCCCCCCTAATTAGGCTGGGGTGACGCCGCGACACGGGGCTGTGGGATGCAGCTCTCCCCGACAAATGAGGAGTGCGAGTAACCCCACGGGGGGCGTAGGTGCCTCCCACCAGACGGGGCTGGAGCCTGCGGGGGTCTCACCTGCCTGGGGAGGCGGGGCGGGGACCGGGCAGGGTGTCTCTGGGTTAGGGTCTCACCTGCAGGCAGAGGCGGAGCGGGGACGGGAGTTCTCTCACCTGCCAGGGGAGGCAGAGCGGTGTCCGAGGGGACGGTCCGGGGGGTCCCACCTGCAGGCAGAGGCGGGGTGGGGTCAGGAGAGATCCGGGGGGGGTGGCACCTGCCGGGGGAGTGGGTCGGGATCCAGGGGGTGTCCGGGGGTGTTCCACCTGCCGGGGGAGGCGGGGCGGGTCCCGGGGCGCGGGCGGTGCCCGGGCGGGGAGGGGCGAGCGGCCGGCAGGGGGAGCCCCGGCGGCGGCGGGCGAACGAGGAGCGGCGGCGGCGGCGGTGGCGGCGGCGGCGGCGAAGACGATGTTCAAAAGCGGGCGGGGAGCGGCGGCGGCAGCAGCTCCGCGCCGAGCCCCGGGCCGCCGCCATGCGCCTCCGCGCCGCCGCCGCCGTCCTCTGCCTCTGCCTGCTGGGCGCCTGCCGCCTCCGCCGCGGGCTGGAGGCCGCCGCCGTGCGCGGCCCGTCGGCGGCCGCTCCCCAGCGACCCTCGGCAGCCGCGCCTTCCTCCGCCTCCTCCTCCTCCGCCGCCGCCGCCGCCTCCCCCTTCTCCTCCCCGCCGCGGAGGGACGGGGCTCTCCGCAACGGCACGGTGGTGCCGCACCACTACATGGTGGCCCTGTACCATCGCCTGGCCGCCCGACGCGGCCCCGGCGGCCGCGCCGACACCGTCACGGGCTTCGCGGAGCGGGCGCGCAGCGGTGAGTGCGGGGAGCGCGTCCCCCCGGGGACCCCGCCGTCGGGGATGCTTGGGCTTGGGAACGGGCGTTAGGATGAGGATGGGGCTTGGGGCTGTGCGCGGGTGCGGGGGTCGGGCTCCTGCGTGGGCGCGGGGACGGACGTGGGATTGCGCATCACTTCGAGCGTGAGTTTGGGGACGCGGCGGCAACGCGGAGAGGGAGCTCGCGCGTCGGTCCAAACGCGGGGCTGTGCCTGGGATGGCGTTGTGCGTTGGTTGGGGAACGGGGTGGTTGCAGAGGTTGGGGGTAGCTCACGGGATGGAGCTTCACGGGATAGGGGCTGCGCGTCCCAGTTGTTTAACGGGAATGGAGCCGTGCGCGAGACGGAGCGTGGGAATGGGGACGAGGACAGTGCTGGTAGTGGGGTTGTGCGTGAGCATAGGGCTGGGGCGACGATAGTGGCAGCAAATGGTTTGTGTCTGGAGCTGGGAAAAGGGATTGCAGATGGAGATGAGGGTGAGGTCGGGGGTGGCGATGGGGTTGTGCGGTCAAGGATGACGTTCGGGGCTGGGACTGGGGTTGGAGTTGAGGACGGAGTGCGAGGTGCAGCCAGCCGGGCCGGGGCGGGCGGGCGGGCGTGTGTGCGGCTCTCGGAATCTCCCGCCACCTGATGTGGGGCAATTTTGAGGCAGCTTCTCTGCGCGGCATCCCCGGGACCGGGAGCGAGAAGACCCGCCAGAACCTTTACAACCCGAAAAACTCCGCAGGGCCCCGCGACGCGCCGGGCGAGACTGGGGAGGGAGCGCAGCCGCGGTGCCCCGAAAGCGCTCCGGAGCGGCTCCCGCCGACCCTCCGGCTGAGCTCGGCATCGCGCTCCCCTTCTCCCTCTTCCCCTCCTTTTGCCCTCTTCATACCCGCGAATCTAATGGCGATAATCAAATAAACACATAAACGCACTTGACGATATATTATTAACATGTGTACATCGCGCCCTGCCGCCGAAGTTCGCTCGGCTGGGGGAGAAAAATTAATAAATTCCCGATCGAATAAAATTAAAAGACAAACTGAAAAGTTGACCCAGCCCCAGCCTCCCCGCGGTGCCTATCGCCGGCTGCTCCGGGGTGGGAGAGCGGCGGCTGCTGGTGCGGAGCCCCCAAGCCCCATCCCCACGCCCAGATCGGGCCATATCCTGCCGGCAGCCTTTGGGGGGAAAGGGTGCTAAAAGCTGAAGGGGCAAGGTCAGGGGAGCGAGGTGGGACGCGGGGAAGACGATCCGGTGGGAGGGTGGGCAGTGCCCGGCTTGAGAGAGCCGGGGGAAAACTGCATAGGTCCTGGGAAGTTTCAGAGCAAAACGAAACCAGATGAACTCTTCAAAGGGATCTCCTTATCTGCTCTTATCTGTTTCGCAGAGGAACTTTAGATCTGCTTTTAAAATAATAATTATAATAATGACTATAATGAATAATAATAATAAGGATAATAATAATAATAGTAGCAGCAGCAGCAGATGACAGGGAGAAGATTGTTTCTCCCCTGGCAGGCGGTGCAGGCTGCACCCAGCGGGGCTGCGGTGTGGGGATGTCGGACAGCACTCTGCCGACAGCGGGTCAAGGGGCTCGGGCACAGCAGTGATGTTTGCAGCATGCCCAGGTCAGGTTTCTCGTTAACGAGGGAAAAAATAAATAACAACCCTCCCAGAACTCATTCATTTCTTCTTCTCCCCAGTGCCACCTCCTTTGGTGTTTTGTTTTGGGTTTTTGTTTGTTTTTGGTTTGGTTTGTGTGTGTGGGTTTTGTTTGTTTGGTTTGTTTTGGTGTTGGTTGGTGTTTTTTTTTGTTTTTTTTTTGGTTTTTTTTGTTTTTTTTTTAAATGCACATTGAGTATATTTAATCAGTGCCAGAAACTGCACAAGTCTGTGTTTGGGCTTTGGATCCACCAAAAGCAGTGACAAAGTGAAGCTGGGCTCACTTTCAGCCTCTGGTGGTGCCTCTATCAGGCGTGTGTCTGCGATGGGAAAATGGAATTTTTCACAGCTTTTTACTTGACGTGACTGGGGCTGTGTGTGTGTGTGTGTGTGACACTTAGGGCAGAGGAAATCAGTCACCATCTCCTGATTGGGAATGGGACTGTGGCACACAGGTTCAGATGAGGCTTCCATGCCAAAACAGAATAGTGGTGCAACTGGGGTCACTGGAACACCCAGGAGGAGGCAGAGAAGCCTCCTCGGGACATGGGAAGGAGTGCTGATGAGAAGCCACTTGATTCAGCTGATGCCTCCCTCCCTCTGTACCTACTCCTCCTCGTTTGTTTTTGGTGCCTCCAGCCGGAGTGACGCTCCTGGATGCAGGACACACAGGCTATGTCCTGCTGGGATGCTCAGTGAGCCTTGCTGCATGGCAAGATCTTCCGTGTTAGCTCTGTGTCCCTTGCACCTCCCTAATGAGAGCTTGGCTTCAGCTTGCTGGGATTTTAAATTTTTCTCTCCCCCCCCCTTTTTTTTTTCCTTCTGTGTTATCTCTTCCAGATGCCTCCCTATTCGCCTCTGAGCAGCGATACCTCTTCGACATCTCCAGCCTGCCTGAGGCGGAGGAGGTGACGGGTGCAGAGCTGCGAGTCCTGCGCGCCCTCCCTGAAAACCGGAGCTTGGCCCTGTCCTCTGAAGGCACCTTCCACCACCTCCTCCTTTCCACCTGCCCAAACCAGGATGGTGAGGAGCCCCGGCTGCTGGACTCCAGAGCTGCAGACATTTTGGACGCAGGCTCCTCCAGATGGGAGGTTTTTGATGTCTGGGAAGCCTTGCGAGATCGGAGGGAGAGATCTCTCTCGGGCACGCTGCTGTGCTTCCTGCTGAGGATCGTCTCGGATCAGTCGGGGCAGCTCCTGCCCCCCCGACAGCTGGGGTTCAGCAAGCCCCAGCCCCAGCCCCACGAGCGAGCCCTGCTCGTGGCCTTCTCCCGCACCCAGAGGAAGGAGAATCTCTTCAAGGAGATCCGGGATAAGATCAAGGCCCTGGGCAGCCCCCCATTCCTGGAGCCCCCCGATCCTGGCCAGGAGGTGTATCCCAAGAGGAGGAAGAGAAGGACCACGATTGCTGCCCGGTCTGGGGGCAGAGGCCATGGGAAGAAGGCGAAGACCCGCTGCAGCAGGAAACCCCTGCATGTGAACTTCAAGGAGCTGGGCTGGGATGACTGGATAATCGCCCCCCTGGATTATGAGGCCTATCACTGTGAGGGGGTCTGTGACTTCCCCCTGCGCTCCCACCTGGAGCCCACCAACCATGCCATTATTCAGACCCTGATGAACTCCATGGACCCGGAGTCCACCCCCCCGAGCTGCTGTGTGCCCTCCAAGCTCAGCCCCATCAGCATCCTCTACATAGACTCTGGGAACAATGTGGTTTACAAACAGTACGAGGACATGGTCGTGGAGACGTGTGGCTGCAGGTAGCAATTTCTGCAGCTCTCCTCCTCCCCACCCCTCCCTGCCCTGCCCAGCAGCCCTGCCCCATTTTATATATATAAATATAGATATATATATAAAATATATATATATACACGTACACATTTTGGTGTGTGCCTTTCCAAAAGCCAAGCTCAGAGCAGCTGTCCCTTGCCTTCCCTGGGCTGCCCTGGCCATGAGCTCCCCCCCGAGACTGTGAGGCTGATGCCATCTTTGTGCCTTGTTTGCTCCCCATGGGAAAGGGGGGGGTGCACAGAGCCCCCAGGAAATGCCTGTTCTGCCTATGAGCTCTGCCTGCTAGTCTTGATTTTCCCAAGTGAAGCTGACACTTTCTTTCCCAAAGGTTTTGGAAAATTGTCTCAGTGGGAATGATGACCTGGGATTGTGGGGCAGGTGGAGTGGTGGCTGTGGGAGAGGAATCTTGTCAGCATCACCCTCTAGCTGTGGCAGTGGGATGGAGGTGAGGTGAGAGCGCTCATTTATTTGAGTTAAAGGAGTTTTTCTGTCTGCCTTCAAATTGCCACCCCAGGTTTTCTGGTGGAAAAACGAGGGATCCTTGGGGGAAGGCAGGGGGTGGAGAACCTGTGGCTGCTGGGGGTTGAAATCATTTGGTCCAGGCCTCCTTACAGTGGGAAGAGATTTGTGAGTCTGTTGGTGGGGACAGGAAAGAAGGTCCTGTAACTGGAGGCTAAAGCAAGAGTCAGGTCTGAAGTAGAGCTCATGCTTTCAAAAAAATGGGAATGGTCCTGGGAGGTGTTAGGTGGGGGTGCCCTGGCTCCATGTAGTCCAAAATGCTGGCCCTGTTGTTGATGTCCTGCAAGAGGTACTGGCTGGTGGGTCCCCTCCCTTTCCTGCACAAAACCCCATTTCCAAGGCATACTGGGAAGCCGGCATCAGGCCCACAGTTCACACAGCCGTCCTCAGCATGTCTGGAGAGAAACAAAGGTCCTGAGTTCCCCAGGGAAGAGCCATTTTGCTTGAGTTCTTCTTTTTCCAAATAATCTCTATAAAAGCACTAAGCTCCACCCTATCTTCCTTTGGCATCAATTTCCCAGTAAGCTCCATCCCTCCCTGGAGCTCCGGCCTCTCCCTGCTCCATTGAGGGAGCCTGGATCTGCCAGGAATGGACCTTTCCCATGCTGTAGGCTGAATGTCACCCTTGGAGACTTCTACATAAAATGAGGTGCTTTGACTCGTGCTGAAAGGGCTGCAGGACTTTTTTGCAACTCAGGAGCTGAGTATAAATTATGCCTTTAAATCAGAGAAACCTCGCATCCATGACAGAGTGTGTTTTGGATGTTGGGAAGCGTTTCTGCTGCACCTCAGTGGGTTTTGGTACCAAACTCTGGCTTCCTAGCTGGGTTGGTGTAGACCACAGGTGTATTTGCACAGACTTTGTGTTTGATGGTTTGTTTTTTACTGGTGGTCAGAGTGTTGGTGTGTAAACATCAGGGCTTATTAGTGACAGTAGTTTGCTTTTGGAGGAGATAAATCCCTGCTGGAAAATATGGTGTTTTCCCTGTATGAAACCAGTTGTCCTCCATGGCAGGGGTGTTCTGCTGGGAAGGCTGGGCCTGGCAAGGGCAGAGAGGGGGTCGTCTCAAAGAACTCTACTGGAATCCAAATGATTTCAAGGATCAGAAAAGCCTTGGTGAGGTCCAACAGCCACTTCCCCACAAGAAAATAGTGCATCAGCAGGGAATAAACTGTGCACACTGATAATGGTGATAGATCCATTGGGCTAACACCTCCCAACTTCCTTCTGTCCTCATCCACAGAGGCTTGCTCTGCATCCTCAGGCTGTGGCTGGTGGCAACTCAGGAGAGCAAATGTGGTACCCGTAAGTCTCGTGTAACCCCCTTGACTCCTGTGGAGCTCCTCCAACTTTACATACATGTATCCAAGAGGAAAACCCATCTCCCTACCTCAGCATGAATGTAAATATATATTAATGATGTAACTGTCCCCAGGGGGATGCTCAGAGGTGGAGGTTGATGGGGCAGAGGAAGAATCAGCTCCTTGTGGGTGGGTTTTCTGCCTGCCAGCGTCTGGGGAGGCTGAGGTGCAACTAGTGGGTGAGGAGGGGTCGGCAGAAGGGCTGGTGGCTTTCCTTTGCCCTTTGGCTTTAGCACAGATGGTTTAGGAAGGAGGTTGGCACAGCAGTGCCGGAGCTAGCTGCCTGCTCTGGAAACACCGCGCCATTTATAAAGTTACCAAGCTTTTGAAGTACCTAATTTTTCAGTTGTCATGGGTTGTTTGATAGTCTTTCTCACTGCTGAGACAATATTTTTAAATGTTTTTGTTTCTCTTACCTCCTCCCCTTCCTCCAAATATTTGCGGTGGAGGTTTGTGGGCAGTTCAGATCTGGGCAAGATATATATATAGCTCCTGGCAGCCCCCGCTGGCTGGTGGCTCTTGTGAGCCTCAGCCAAAAGGTTGACCTGAGACCTGCTCCCGTGGGACCGAGTCCAAGGGGGTGTTAATATCAGTGACCCTCAGTTCTTGAAGCTTTTGTTCAGCCACAACTGCAGGGAACAGACAGATGTTGCCCACCTTAGGCCTGGAGGTGGCAGGTGGGGAACGAGGCAATGGATTGGGTCTTGCAGTGCTTCACCCCAACCCCAGTGCTATGTGCTGTGCTCTGCTGAGGCTCTGCCCTGAATCCCACTGTGGCTTTGCTGGTTCTAGGGGGGGAAGCAGTGACTCAGTCACTGCAGTTTTGTAGCCTGGATCACTACGGTAAACGAGGAGGATTTGGGGAGAGCGCAGAGGCCGCTGCTGGCAGTGATGCCATCCATGGTTTTGCCCATGTGGGAATCGGTCCTGGCTCTCCTGGCTGCAGGTGCCTCTCCCTGAGCAGGCATGTTTGGTGGGGCAGCAAACTTCAGCCCCCCCAGGTGAGCTGTGGGGCCCTTTGTGCTCACACCCCTGGTGATGCTGCTGTGCCAGCTGCTCTTTTAAAGGAGCACCTGCTCCTTTCCTGGGCAAACAACCTCTGGAGGACAACAGGAGGGAAAAGGATGGAGTCAGACCCTCTTTCTGCTTGCTTAAGGAGATGGAAGGCAGCCCGGGGCTACTCCATGGGAACGTGTATGAGCGGGGCAAGGCTGGAGGGGAGCTGGGCTGGGGCTGTTGGTGGGTAACTGTGTTCCTGCCCCTGGGAAAGTGTATCAGCCACAGTGCTCGGCTGTCACAGTGCTTATTGCTCCCAGAGGAGTGTTTCCAGAGCAGAAGCATCACTTCTCCCTTTATGGATCCCTGCATGCCAACTGCCAGGGCTGCTTCTCCATCGCCAGGTGGATTTGGAAATTGCACCCAAACACTGGAATGAGGCTTAGGCAACAACTGTCAGAGCCGCTGCAAATGTTGAGAGGTTTAGATTATATATTAGGGAAAAGAAATTCATGGAAAGGGTTGTAAAGCATTGGAACAGACTGCCCAGGGAGGTAGTAGAGTTGCCATCCCTTGAAGTGTTCAAAAAATGTGTGGATAAGACAACTGAGGATGCAGTTTCATGGTGAACATGGTGGTGCTGCTGGGTTAATGGTAGGACTTGATGGTCTTTTCCAGCCTTAATGATTCTGTGACTCTCAGTGGAAGTGGCGGGTGTGAAAGCCTTTTCTGGACAGGGAGGTTCCCTCAGCTGAGCTGTTGCAGCCCTGCCATGTTTGGGCAGGTAAATGGGGCACTGGCTGCAGGATGGTGGCAGCCCAGCCCAGCTCTCATCCCTGAAGCTGGTCCTCAGCTGAGCATCACCCTCTAATGCCATAAAAACGGTCCAGGAAAAATGTATTTCTGATCAGTTGCCTCTTGCCTGAGCTGATTTTTGGCCACATGTAAACTTTATAAATATGAGACTAGAGGTTGAACATGGACAAATATGAATTCAGTAGGCTCAGAGTGATTTTAATGGATAATTATAGGTTCTTATTCTGCAGTATTTATACAACCTTTGCAGTTAAAAAAAAAACAAAACCAAAAGCAAAAACAGTTTCCATGCAGTGTATATCCTCCTGGAGGATTTGTTTGACCTTGAGCACCATTTTTATCTGCAGGATGTAATTACAGTGAAACTAGAAATATTAAGCATTTGAAAAAGACTATTTATCTATGCTTAACTGGCTCCCTCCCCTCAGACATGGGAATGTAATCACGCAGGAGCAGGGAAATGTGGAGTGATCCCATTCGACTTGGAAGCACTGGGGCTGCGATTCAGGGAAGCACACCTGGTCAGGAGACAGGACTGGTGTCTGTGCCTCGAGCTCTGCAAAACCAAAGACTGCTTAAGCCACTGCCTGCACCATGTCCTGAAGCCCCCTGTCCAGTGAAGCTCCATAGCAGGAATAGTCAAAAGCAAAATGGCTTTATGGGTGGTTTAATTGCCTCATGACCAGGGGTGCTTCTGGCCTAGGAATAATCCCCCCAAAAAACATCCTTTTTTCTTTTAAGGACTGATTAGTTTTTGCTTCTCTTAAAGTAGGGGTTTTGTCTTTCCACACATCCCTTTTTTTTTTTTTTTTAAACATATTTCAAATCCAATGACAGAAGAGAAATTACTATCCTCTGGAAAAGAGAAGGGTGTTCATATGGAAAAGGGCTTGATTCAGGGTTGCAGCATCTTCTCCCTGGCATAGCTGTGTTGATTCTGGTCAGCACTGGCAGCCAGGACCACGTCGTCTTTGCGTGTTGGCTGATGCTTGGCATACTCGTAAGGAAAAGACTGCAAAGGTATTAAAAGTGAAGCCCAAGCCTTGAGCCTTCTGCTCAAGTCCGAGTGCCAGTGACTCCTGGGTGTTTTTGCACCGTGTGGGTTTTAACTCAGGCTGTGGTTACACAGATGTCACTGGGTGATGCTGCAGTGATTTATCGGTCACACTCCGGTTGCAAAACAAGCAGCTTCTTTTACAGTTTTAAGCCCTTATGCCACAGACCCAAAAGTGGTATTTAGGGACAGTCACCTGTGCTGGCCCCCACGTAACAGCAGGCACATGCTCTGCTGATGGCAGCACTGCCTCTCCAGGGAAGAGACAGAGAGGCTGGGGCATCACTTAGGACCCCTGGGGGAGGTGGGTCCCAGGGGGCCATGGCTGGGCAAATGCAGCGCAGCACCCTGGAAGTTCTGATGGGATGTCACAGCTTTGCTCTCCAGACTTAACAGGAGTTTTGCCATGAGCAAAACTTGTGCTTGTCTTGACAGCAGCATTTGCAGTTACTCACATCAAAACCCCCATGACCTATGTTAATGTGATAGATACGTCATAAATACCAATCCAGCTCATACTCTTGTTGGAACAAACCTGGTGGGAAACGTCAAGGTTTCCTGCCAAGCATGCAGCGAGTTCTGAAATCCAAGTGCCTTCTCTTTTGTCTGTGCTGGAGCAGCAGGGCCACGTGCCAGGGAGAAAAAAAAACTAAGTGGGGCAACGGCGATGAGAGTCTGGGTATTTCACAGAGGTTGTCACCCTAAGCGGGGCTGTACCACTGGGTTTGAAAGATGGTCAGACTGAAGGGCTGTCACATGGACCTTGGCTGGGTGGTCCCGCCACACAGTTTGCTGTGTCCCCTGTCCTGTGTGCAACTGGAGTTATGGTGTGAATTTTTCTCTCTTCACATCACACTCTGGGGAGGTGAGTGGGTGGGAAAACCTGTGTGGGCAAAACCAAGCACTGGCCTTTGAGAGCAGTGTGGTTCTTCTTTTAAGCCACCATGACCAGCAGATGGAGAGACTGTGTGTGTCTCAGTGGAATCAGAGCAGCTCCTCTGGCATCAGGGATCGCTTTATGGCTATGTGGGGCCTGAATGGAGATGCTGGGTGGCAGGAGCAGAGTGCAGCAGTGTGCTCACTGTGGGAGTGTGTCCTCTCTGAAAACACAAGAGGAGAGGAGTTGGGGGCTAATGTTCATGGATGGGGGGTTCCTGATGGTCAGGAGCTTGTGACCTTGTGTGGTGGTGGGAGAGTTTTTCTGCCTTTCCTATCTTTGAATTAATGGCTGGTAAAAGAGCAAGGTGTTCCACCAGGCTTGTGTGTGTGAGACACCTTCAATTTTGTCATAAGCTGGTTTATGCTTTCCAAGGTAAAACCAGCTGCATTCATCTTTTTGAAGCTCTTTATTCCTAGTACAGAGTGTTGTGAGGTACATAGAGGTGCAAAGATGTATCTGAAAATCACTTTTACCCTATCAGTCAGTATTCTGGGCCTTTGAAAAATGACCAAAATTTGGAACTCCTGCTGGTGTAACCCACTGACCATGGCGCCCACCCTACATCTCAAAAGGATATTTTGCATCCTTGCACCTCAAGACACAAGTAGCCCATGTGGCTGCTTTTTCCTTTTCCTGGCAGCAGTACCCAAACAGCCCCTGAATTTTCCATGTTGGAGAGGAGCCTGATGTCAGTGGTGGTGGAAAGAAGCACATGGGCGGGCTGGCAGATGCACCGTGTTTAACTCTGGCTGAATGGACTAGGGTAGGAAACTTGGGCAGCAGAGCATTTTCATGGAGCTGGTATTGAAAAATCTTAAACCGAAGCTTGATTCATTCCCAGAAATGGCTGAAAACAAAACCTTCCCATTTTCAGTGGTTTTTCAGCAAGTTTTGCTCTTCATTTTTCTGTCGTCACCACTTAATAGTCCATTCATACATTTTGTAAGCTCGTTTTTTCTGCTTTGGTACTGGTGTTCGTGCTTTGGGTTTTCAGGATGGGGAGTGCAGACTTGCTGTGGTGTTTGGTGAGGGGAGAAGGGTGAGGAAGGGAAGACTGAGCCTCAACAGCAGGAGGACGGGGGTCAGTCTGTGCCCTTGAGAAGGGAACTGTGAGGGGATGGGTCTGACAGGGTTGAAAACAGTGGGAGGAGGGGACTTGCTCGTGATGGGTCCCACACTCACATGCTTTGCTGATGGAACGTGAGAGAGTTTGGGTCTCCCCTCTTCTCCTCTTTGCCACAGTGTCAACCTGTGCTGGTGCCACCCTGGTCTCCATCATCAGGAATGAGACCCAGAGACTGGACCAAGCCTGGCCTCCCTGGAAGCTGTGGCATCCAGTTGGTCTCAGTTTTTGGGGAGATGGTAATGTTCCCTGTGGTGGTTCATTAATTTCCTCCATCCTGCCTTGGTGGAGAGAGAGGAGGGGAGCAGTAGGGGAAATACAAGAGGCAAAGTTTGGGGCTGCTTTGGTCCCAAGCTGGTCATCCTAGGGAGCTGCGTGCCAGCTGTGTGCTGGGAACTGCTGAGCACCAAGGGACTCACAGAAGCTCAGCCATTAGCAGCAGAGTATGAAATTGCATCCACAGGCCAGGAAAAGGGATGGTCAAACATGCAGGGGCTGGGCTGTGGTCCTTGAAGAGGTGCCAGAGTTAAGTGGGTGTGTAGGTGATGATCAGCTGGGGATGAACCACTTCGTAGGGGCAGCTCATCCCCTCCTTGTTCCATTTGGAACTGCTGCTGGTGTAACCCACTGACCAGGGAGCTCACCTTACATCTCAAAGGATATTTTGCATCAAGAAGGGGAGGGATTATTCTGGTTACATTCATCCCACGTGCTTCATGAAGCCACATTTGTGCAGTGCCTTTGCAGATCAAGCTCTTACAGCCTGAGGAGCAGTTGGGGGCTGTGCCCAGCTGGAGTCACCAGCTCCGTCTTGGCGATGCTCCTCACAAGAACTGGGCACATGTCTGTGCAGGACAGACCTGCTCTGCTCGTGGTCATCCCTGTTTTGGATGCAGCAGGAGCAATGTTGATCCAGTTTGCTCAGTCCCTCCATATCCCATCACCATGTGCTCTGTTTCTCAAGTCAACACTATCTGGAGTTCCTTTGACTAAACGAGCCTCTCTGCTGGTCAGTCATGGTTTTATTTATATGTTCTTTTCTTTGATCAGAAAGGAAAGTATCAAAAAATGAAAAAGGACTCATGTTTCCAATAGCTGTATCTCTCGTAGTTATGAATTTTGAAGCAATACTTGTATCCCTGTGTGTGCCTCTGAACTATCCATTTATTTGTTCAGCTTTTTCAGGTCTGAGCGTGTGAAATATCTCTGAAGAAGATAGCTCTGTACGTGATATGGTGTAAATGCATTGTTTGTATGTATCTAAAGTTTAAATAGATTGTACATATGGGATTGTAAATGAACTGTAAACAGCAATCTATATTTTCTTGAATATATTATATAGCGGTATATATTTGTTAAATAAGTATTCTTGTATACTCTTCAATAACCTTTTTAATATTTTGTACAGATAAGTTTATTAAATATTTTATTGATAAATAGACCTCTGCAAGATTTCTTTTTCTTCTGAAGACTTGTGCCTGTGTCCTGAAACTGGATACCAGAACAGCCTTTGTAAGTCACCTTTACTCCTGTGGCTACCTAAGGTGTTAAAACCAAAAATGAAATACCCATTCATTTTAAACTGTCTTCCTGGGCAGCCACAG